TCAGAAGAGAGAGGCACTGCACTGAAGATTCCATTATAGATTAAAAATGGTTCTTGAATTTTTTGAAGAAGGCGAGAGAATTTAGTTTTATATTCAGAAGGTGAGGTTTTGTTTTTCGGTAGTCGTGATAAGTTTTTGGTGGTTTTTTTATCCATAGTGGATCGTAATCTTTTAGTTTTTCTAAAGGAAATTCTTTAAAGAAAGCAGTAGCTGCGATAATTCTTTCTGACAAAGGGAGGGCTGAATTTGTTTTCTTTTTAAAAACTTTTGAAAATTTTGGCTTGAAAATATATCTATAAGTCGGGTGTTCAGTTTGAGGGTATAGTCTAGAAATATAATTAATGGCCAGTTATTTTCGTCTAAATAAAGGAGGGGGAGGGAGAGGGGGGTGGACCAGGCTGGCCCAAAACGTGCTAGTCGCAATCCTAATACTAGTGTGATGTACTTCATCAAGTTTATTAAGGATCCGGAAACGTGCAGAACTGTAGATAAAACAACCATAGTCCAGTTTTGAGCATATTAATGAGCGGTACAGTTTTAGTAAGGTGATCCTATCCGAACCCCAGGAGGTACTACTAAGATATCTCAATTTAGTTAGTGTTTTGGTTGGTGGCCGTTTTTAAGTTAGAAATATGAGTTTTCCATGTTAGTCTTCAGTCAGATACCATATCCAAGAATCTGTGACTGTTTGTATAAGGGATCATGGAATTGCCCAAGTAAATGTCAGGAGAGGGAGAAGTATTGCGCTTTCTACTGAAATGGAGGCACTTTGTTTTTTCAATGGAAAATTCAAGACCAGTAGAAAGGGACCAATTTTTTATTCTATTTACGACTTCCTGTAATTTTTGCTGAATAGTGATAATGTTGTTAGAGAGGCATACGATGGACAGATCATCTACGAACAGTAGAGGTTTGACACCTCTAGGCTAGTTAAGTCCCAAGTCATTTATTGCTATGCAGAACAATGTTGGCCTGAGGGCACAGCCTTGTGGGACACCACTGATCTGATTATGCTCCTTAAATGCTTCGCAGCCTATTCTTACTCTAAAATGGCGATTTGAAAGAAATTGTTTGATGTAATTGAACATGTTCCCTATTATTCCAACTGATAGCAGCCTTTTAAAGATTAAATCATGCTGTGTGCTGTCAAAAGCTTTCTTCATATCAAAAAAACAGCAATCGCATGTTGTCCGTTGATGAAAGCATTTTGGGTTTCTACCTCCAATGCAACTAGATGGTCCATTGTGCATAGTCCCTTGCGAAACCCAGACTGAAATGGTTGTATTAAATTTTTTTCTCTATAATCCACATCAATCTTTTATTAACTATCCATTCCATTATTTTGCTTAACCAGCTTATGTGGAATATAGGACGATAGCTATCTGGGAGGCGCTTGTCTTTTCCGTTCTTAGGAATAGGAATAACCCAAGAGTTGCCCCAGGAAGTTGGAAGTGCCCAGTGGACCATACATGGTTGTAGTATTTTAAGAGCCAGTTTAGTGTGTCAAGAGGAAGATTTTTAATCATATCGTAATGGATATTGTCAGGACCAGGTGTTGTTCCCTTGATAGTATTTAGAACATACTTTAATTCCCACATTGAGAAAGAAAGATTATACATTAGTATATCATCATTTATCATATCTGATTCTGCTTCATCGGCGTAGGCATTATTTCTTTCTGAGTTATAGATTCTGTCAAAAAAATCTGCGAATTAGTCCGAAATTTGTCACTTATTGTCAGTTGATTGTTTGTTTATTGTTATAGTGTAGCTTGAGGATTTTTGTTGAGTTTATGGAAACTTCCAAACTTCAGCTGAAGTTGTAGAAGCATTAATGGAACTTACAAAAAACTTTCCAAGACTCGGTTTTATAATGGTTGAATAGCTTTTTGCATATAGCATGCAGTCTTTCATATTAAATTAGATTTTCTGATGTCATTGATTTCTGAAAATTCTTATATGCTCTACGACGTTCTTTGATGACTTTTTACAGGCATCATTAAATCACAGAACAAGCGGTCTCTTCGGATGACCCGATGTCATCGGAATCGATGACTTAGCTGCTTGCATGATTGTATTAGTAATGACTTCACAACCATTGTCTACATCTACTTCGGATGGAGAGGTTTGAAGTGGTGAGGCCAAGGAATATTGACCAATCTGCTTTGGTCTGTATCCATCTAGGATTACTGTGAGTGGAGTTTCTATTTGTGAATTTTATAAGTATAGGGAATTGGTCGGTTACTGTATAAATCGGGAAAAACAGTCTAGTCTATAATGTTATAAAGGGCGGAATTACAGAAAGAAAGGTCAATTGCTGAATTAGTGGCATAGCTAGAGGTGAAAAATGTTGGTTCTCCAGTGTTTAGTAGGATAAGATCAGAAATATCTAAAAATGTTCGAGTATCCTTCCTCGCATGTTAATGTCTTGGGATCCCCATAGGGGTTTGTGGCCATTGAGGTCCCAAATAAAAAGAACAGAACGAGGAAGTTGGTTGTAAATATCTAAGAGGTGTTGTGATTCTATTGAACTATCTTGTGGCAGGTATACATTGCAAATTGAAAAGCTTATACCGTGGTGGATTCTAACTGCAACGGATTGAAGATGTTAGTCAATTAGAATTGATTCAGAATATACAGATTTATGTACAGCTATTAGAACTCTGTGGTGACTATGGTTTGGGTTCTGGCTATCCTTTCTAAATATTTCGAAATTTTTAATGGAAAATTTGTCTTTTACAGTTAAGTATGTCTCTTGAAGAGCAAGGCAAAATGGGTCAGTATCACATATTAATATTTTTAAATTGTTAAAATGGATTTTTAAACCATTGAAATTCTTTCATTATTGAATTAATGACATGATTAAGAATTGTAATTAAAGGAATATAACGATGCTATACTGAGCCATTTTTGCTTGAGTTATCTTTCTTACATTTTCCTTTTCTGTAACAGACCCCAGTATAGCCGTCGTCTGAATTCAGTGGATCAACCTTGATGTCCTCGAAGCTGCCTTCAAGTTGGCCTTTATTCAAAGGTTCCTGTGATGAAGACTCGGAGGATGAGGATTGAGATATAGGTGTGGTGAGGGAGGAGGCCATGGGATTAGGTAGGAGGAGGGGATAGAGGAAGAGGAATGGAACGGGGAGGGTAAGACTCCGCAAGGACCTGGTGACCATGGTCCGTTGTACCTTAGGTACAGAGGATTTTGATGTGCTGGGTTGTGGGGAGAAATGATTAGAAGCTATCTTTGCTTGGTGACTCTGAAAAGCTTCGAATTTAAAGAATTTATCTGTTTGAGTACCTTTTTTCTGTGTTTTTATATTATTTTTAGGCTTAATGACTTCAGAGAATAACTTATTGAACTGTTGAGGCTTTTCTTGTTTATAAATATTTTTAGCTTCATGGTAAGAGACTTTCTTAGTGAATTGGATGGTTTTAATTTTTTTATTTATCTGGTAAATAGGGCATTTTTTATCTAAAATGTTATGATTTTGACCACAGTTAATACAAAGGGATTCTTTGGTACATTTTGGATCAGTATGTTTTTCTTCAACACATTGAGAACAAATTATTTTGGGTTTTGTACATTTTAGAGTATGGTGTGAAAAAGTAAGGCATCTATAGCACCTAATCGGATTAGGGGTGTATATTTGGACCTTAATATTCTGATAACCAATTTTAAGATTTTCAGGTGGTAATGGAGACGGAAAAGTTACAATATTTGAATTAGTAAATTTTTGTTACCGTTTATTTTCATTTTTATTCTATGGATATCAATGATTTTTCCATTTAGCTCTTCAATAATTTAATTTTTTTCTAAATATTATAAATCGAAGCATCTAATAACTCTTTTACTATAATTTAAAGTAGCGTGTGCTTTTACGGTTATGTAAAATTGGTCAGCAAATCGCTTATAATCTAAAAGCTTCTGTGATTGTTTACTCTATCGCTAGTTTTGATCAGTAGATTTCCATCTCTTAATTTTTTAACTTCTCCTGCTAAATAAACTATGAATTTATTTATCAAAAAAGGAGACAACCTTTGAAAACCATCATCTCCTTCACTACTTACTATTAAGTAGGTAAGAATATTTTTAATAGCATCATTTACCTGAAGAGGGTCAGCTGTAGTTTTAATACTACCTCTTTTTCAACGCTTATATGAGCTATGTGATAGCCCATCCATTTTAATTGTAGGTTTAAATTAAAGAACTATAATTTCTAAGTTTAAGGTAAAATAAATAAAAATTAAAAGGAAAACGATTATCTAAATTAAAAGAAAAAATATATAATTAAATGAAATAAAAGAATATGGTCTGTACAGTAGAGAGTATATCTGTACAGTAGAAAGACAGCTAGTTAATCCTTTGGAGCACCATAAACACACCCAAACTCTGCGAAGTCTACAATCTAACTAAATTTTTGACTTGTTTTTGATGCATTATTTCAATACCACTGCAGTACAATGTGGATGTGATGGTTTCACTTGTGGGTAAAAAGGAGAAATGAATTATTTCTGCCATTGGCCACCACGCCAATTATTTATTGCTCATTTTTCTTAAAAAAAGAGCAAGCTAAGGTAGAATTTGAAAAATCGTAGATTGTATACAATTACACTTGCTGGGATCTGTTCATGCTTTCCCCTTTAGTCCTTCAGTCTGAAAATTCATAACCCTGTCGAAATTTGCCCCTCTGAAAAATTCAAAAATCCGTCAAAATATGCCCATGGTAATGTTTCTTACAGCTTGCGCTGACGACTGTTCAAGTTTAAACTCATAAAAAAAAAAAATCACGATAGAATTTAATGGCATACAAACAATGTACAATCAATTAGAGTGATAGTAAATATTATAAATGTAGTAAACAACATAAGTCCACTAATCCCACTTTGAATTCCTGAAATAATAAAAACAAACATTTCATATGGAATGATCTAATATTTCATTCATTATTTAGTTCCATGATGTTATTCCAAATTAATATTATTAATTTTTTTTTTCAGAATCCCTGTCTTCCTGACCCAACTCTTTTCTTGAGGGTTTACATGTTCTCAATGTGGCTTACCTATGTCATTTTCATTGTTTCATCAACTTTTTCGAACTTTGTCCACAAAGAGAGAATATCTACTATCAAACATCTTATGCTTATGACTGGGGTTTCACCCCTTACTTATTGGTGTTCTGTCCTCTTATGGGATGCTATATTATATTTGATTTTTGTATTAATTTCTTGGATTACATTCCTTATATTAGATGCTGGGAGTCTGTTTGACACAGGAAGTGGCATTTGTGAGTATTATAATATGTAATATACTATTATGTAATAAGCTCTTAGAGTTCTATGTTGTAAAGTAAAAGATTTTTATTTGTTATTATTTTATGCTTCAAAAAATTAATTACGTTATTGGAAGAGCTCTATAAAATTTTTGAATTGCATTCTTAACAGAGCTAAAGCTAAAAAATTACAGCTAACAAATCATAAATAACAAAAATTCTATTTATTACATCACTGGTTGATTATGGATTGTACAACTATTAATTATTAAACTGTTATTTTCCATTGCAAAGTTTACTAAAATGGAACTATGACATTTGCTTTGTCTATCATAAACAGGTCAAAAGTTGTCGCACTAATTGTAAGTGGATACTGTTGGGATATCAGAAAGAAAAAATTCATCGAATTATTCACTAATTTAATTTTCTAAAAGGTTACTTGATGATTTTTTTGGAATAAACGGCCAATAGATACAAAATTATTTAAATATGGAAAGAAAGAAAGAAAGTAAATTTTATTCTGGGACATTTAGGACCCTCAGAATAACTACAATGAACAAAGAAATGCAATTGTCTGGCGATTGTGAATAATTAAATGGCAATTAAAAATAAATTAATTTACAAAGTTGTCTAACCTTAATATTAAAATAAAGATACTGTAGTAAACATATGATTTTAAAGATAATTACATACGGGCGAGTTCATGCATTTGTACAAATAAGCAATATGACACATACATGGATATCTGCAAGATATCGGTGTAGTGTAGCTGACATCTCTGAAGTACAAAATAACTTTATTTTACATATATTCGGAAGATTGATTACTGAGGAGATGGAAAAATAAATTATGTTTAAATGAGGTCAAGGATGAGGATTTCCGTAAAGAGATTGGTAGGAAAACTGAAAATCCGAAGATTCATTAAGGAGATAAATGAGGAAAATCAAATGAAAATTCAGAAAATTTTTATCAATACTGTTTCCATTGGCCTACCTTTAAACAGTTGTATTGTATTGGAGCAGTGAAAATCCGAGCACTCATTTTGGAGATAAATGAGGAAAAGTGAATGAAAATGCGGAAAGTTTTTACCAATTCTGTTTTTATCGGCTTACCACTTAGGAAAATGTTTGGAACAGTTAAATCTGTGCACTCATTCAGAGATAAATGAGGAAAAGCGAATGGAAAATTTTTACATCATAAAAAAGTTATAAATAAAATGTCATTTATCATACTATAGAAATAGCCAAAGGAATCAGTTTTTATTATTAATAATATGGCCATAATTTTTAATAAAGCAATTCATGCGTCACGCTCGAATTTTCTCATTCTCAACAGTTCCCAGTTATCTCGCTTCGAGTTCTACTCTCTCTCACTTCGATTCCATCTCGCCTCGTTGGGGAGCTATATAGGAATTGACTGGGAAGTAATGTGGTTGGAGAATTTCACTGAGTTCTAGTCTATCTCTCCTCGATTTTCTTTTGCTCCATTGGGGAGGCACTTGTCCCATAGCTTGAGTCCGTCTCTCTTCGTGTTCAAATCCGTCCTGCTTCGAGTTCGATTCTCTCTCTCGCTAAGATTCCATCTCGCCTTGTTAGGGAGCTATGTAGAAATTAACTTGGAAGTAGTGTTGTTGTGTTTCGAATTATTTTCGATTGTTATAAAAATTTGTATTTAAGGGTTTTTTGTGGCGCGAAAAAGGAATATCAATTTTGTTTCGTCATAAAAAAATATGTACCCCCTCATAACTACGTCGGTTGGTCCAAATTGTGCATACTGTAGCTATCTGCCAAATATAATATTTGTTAAAAACCAGTTTTGTATCCAGAGTGAGAAACATAGATATTCGTTTTTGGCAGCTCAAAAAAATTCACAGCAATTGGAAAACTAAAATTTCTGCACAGAATTTTTGCCTTGGCTGGCTGGACCATTCAAAAATAGTTTGAAAAGAGGAAAAGCAAATGAAAATTCGGAAAACTGTCTACACCCTTCCCATTTTCGCCTATCTCTGCATTGCCGGAAAATTCTTGGAGAAGTGAAGACTGTCCCTTCATTCTCAAGTTTAAAAAGAAAAAGAAAAGAAAATTCTTGAATTTTTTCCACTTTTTACCCATTTTCATCAAACCCAAAATAGCTGGAAAATTGTTGGAATTGATGAAAATGGTTGGAACACTAGAAACCGATCCTTCATTCCCGAGATAAAAGAGGAAAAGCTAATGAAAATTCGGACAATTCTCTGCACTATTTCCTTATTTTTTACCTACTTTTACATTGGTGGAAAATGGTTGGAGCACTAGAAACCGATCCTTGATTCCCGAGATAAAAGAGGAAAAGCTAATGAAAATTTGGACAAGTTTTCCACTACTTTCGCCAAACTCTAAACATTTGGAAAATTGTTGGGACAATGAAAATCCGATCGTCCATTCATATAATAAAAAGAGGAAAACTGAAAGAAAATTTGTTCCACTACTGTTTTGATTGACCTATCTCTATACAGTTCAGAAACGGTTGCAATAATAAAAATCCTAGTAGCTATTCACAAGATATAAGAGGAAAAGCTAATGAAAATTTGGATAATTTTCTACACTATTTCCTTATTTTCTCCTACCTATACATTGCCAAAAAATTGTTGGTCTGAAAAACCGATCCATCATTCTCAAGGAAAAAGAGGAAAAGCGAATGAAAATTGGGGAGAAAAATTGCACTTTATCTCTATTTTCACTTAAACGGTTGGAAAATTGTTGGAACAATGAATAACCGAGTATCCAATCACGAGATAAAAAAAAAAAATATTGTAATATCTCTCTTTTATTTTACAAATAATAATATAACCTTGGAAGATCACTTTATACCATTGGGATACTTCCAAAATAAATATGAGGTTGTTAAATAAAAAACAAAATTGTAAGAATATTAATATAATAAACTGAAATTTAAAATTATTCTATCTCAGGTATGGGCTACTGACAATCAGATCAACTCAAACAAACTATTATTATTTACACTTTTTCTACTAAAATTAAACACTGATTTTAAAATAAAGTCAAGTGGGTATTCTTAATTGAATTATTAATTAAGGGGAAAAAACTGGCGGTTCATTGTGATTTCAGCCCAATAATTAATAACCATGGGCCACAATATTACACAATTCTTCTTCGGTGCATACTATTATTTTCAAGTTAATCCACTATCAGCCATATTTACACCAATTTAAAAAAATTTGTTGTCACTTAATGACTACTCATCAAAATGACGACGTTTCGGCTCGTCGAGCCATTTTCAAGTCTAAAAAATTTTTTTCATTTACAATCATATATTAAATTTTAACATATTTCAAATTATAAAGATACTTATTATGTACCTAAAATACCCATCATGTACCTGTCATATTCACTTATGCGAATTGCAAGCGTCTACAATATAATAAAATTCATTATTATTGTCATGTTCACCTTTAATTATTTAACAACATTATTATTACTCATCTTTACTATTACATGATTCAAAATAAGTTAAATTTACCATGTTTCTGAGTCACCCACATGTCATCCATCTCATTTCTATTCAGTGACTGGTTATTCTTATAGGAGTAGGGGAAGACTATTTATTATGAACATATATAATGCTGTTACTCAATATTACATGTGGATCTATTTTAAGTAATATTAGTTGATTTATTTCAAATTTTGATTTTTTCAATAGAACTAGCATAAAAAGTATTCATATTATCCACGTCTGTATGATTATTTACTGAGTTTTTTAAGTTTTTAGTTATGTATATTGATTCTTTAATTCTACGTTTATTCGTATTTCTTTCATTATGTAGGATTTTGGCATTTTTGAAATCAAACTCATGTTTAGTTTGCATATTATGTTGTGAGAGTCCAGTAGCTAATTTAATTTTTGTGTTTTTTGAATTACAATTTTGTTTATGCTGTTTAAGCCTTTTTTCAAACCATTGGGATGTTTGTCCAAAATATGCTTTGTTGTCGCAATTCTTACAATTTATTTTATAAATAATATTCGTTAATTTATCGATAGGTACTTTATCTTTAGTTTTCGAATAAATTGTATCTAATTTATTAATTGGTTTGCTTGCAAATTTAATTTCATTTACATCGTATTGTTTAAATGTACTTTCAATTTTATCAGTTAAGTTTCTAATATATGTGACGCTAAAATATTTTTTAGGTTGTTGTTTGTTCCCATTACATTTTTCAATTTGTGTCTTAATGTCATGTATATCGTTCATGGAAGGTTTTTGTTTTACTGCATTTTCAGTTTTAAAATAATTTGTTATTAAATTCGGTTCTTTATTAATTTTAATATTTTGCTTCACTTTCTCACTCCTATCATTGCTAATGTCAATAATCTGTTTGTTACTATTGTCATTTATAATTAACTTTTTATTTTCATACCATAATTTATTAATTAATCGAATGGGGTACCAATTTTCTAATAGAATTTGATATATTTGTGCTTTGATTTCTTTTATATGGTTTTGATCTGTTATTAATTTTGCCTTATTTATTAAATTTTTAGCTGTGTTAATTATTATATGTTTCTTGTGGTTACTGTGCCAGTTTAGGATTCTATCACTAGTTATTGTTTTTTTGCACCATGCCGTGCTAAGATCGCCGCTTTCATTTCTGTGAATATACATATCAAGATATCTTATTTTGTTGTTATTCTCCAATTCCATTGTGAATTTTAGTTTATCTGATATATAATTTAGTTTATCCAGAAAATTAATAGATTCATTTTTATTTATTATTGCAATTATATCGTCAACGTATTTTATAATAAGCTTCGGTTTTTTTCCCCATTTAATTATAGCATTATCTAATAGATTGTTCAGATATATGCCCGAAAGATTGATTGACATACATCCGCCCATCGGTAGACCATTTTTCATTTTGTAATAATTATTATTATAGGAGAAATAGCCATTTTCGCAAATTAATTTGATTCCTTCCATAAAAACGTTTTTATCTTTTATTTCTGTGTACGGTTCTATTTCATCCCACCGTTTTTCCAGTATTCTATATATTTCATTTAGTGGAACATTCGTAAAAAGGGATTCCGCGTCATAGCTTACTAGATTTTCGTTTTCCTCTATCCTATTTATACTATTAATTTTTTCTTTTACTTGCATTGCATTCTTCACATCGTATATATTATTATTGTTTAAGTTGTTTAAGGCTGAGTTTAGGAATTTAGCCAATTTTTCAGTAATGCCATTTATATTATTTACAATTGGTCTAAGAGGTCTGTCATTTTTATGTAATTTGCTCAGACCATGTATTCGCGGTATAGTATAATGTCTAGTTATGAGTTTTTCTTTTTCCTTTTCATTTATAAATTTCATTTTCATTAATTTATTTATATATGTCAAGGTTTTATCCTGGATTTCATTTGAAGGATCTTTCCTAAGGCATCTATATATTAGGCGTTCATCCAGTAGGTTGTGCATTTTTTTATCATACTCAGTCTTAGTAATAATCACGGTTTTCTTAGTTTTATCTGATTTTATAATTAATAATTCTGGATGGTTTTTAAAAAAAATTTTTGTTTCTATTATGTCTTTGTTTATTTTTTTGTGTAGGGGTTGGTTTGAGATATTTTGTTTATTATTGTTTTTGTCAATAAAATCATTTATGTGGTTATTTACTCTATTTCTAATTATATTTTTGTGATTATCAGGTGTGTTGATAGTTCTAATTATATTTTCGACGTCCGCTATTATATTAACTATTTCCCTGTTGTATTTATAAGGTATAATGTTGAATTTATCCCCTAATGATAATAGATTTAATATGTTTGTTGTAATATCTGTTTTAGTCGTATTAACCACCCAACCTTTTGTGTGCAATTCTTCATAGGATTTTATGATGTTATTACGGTTTATACAATGTTTATTTGTGAGTCTATTGTCCAAATTCTTAGTCATAAAGGATACCGTATTATTATATTTAATATCAGCGTATGGTTTTTTAATAAAGGCTTTATATGGTCTTTTACATTTCTCTTCTAATCTCAATCTATGGAATTTAACTTAACTATTTTTGTAATTCGCAACTAGTTTATTAACCTCATTATATATGTTCATATGTATGCCCTTAATTCATTTAAAAATATTTCATGATTTTTGTTATAGGTGTTTAATGCCCAATAACATTGTTTTATTTCAAGTAGTAAACAATCTCTTGCTAATTTATTAAATAAGTTATTTGTTTTTTCTTTATAATTTATCAGAAATGAGGTATTAAAAAGATTTTCCAAAGGTAAAATTTTTTTCAGCAAGTGTTGCGGTATCGTGTCCGAGTATTTACATTTTTTTAAATAAAATAATTTATTATTTATCCTTAAAATTTTTGAAAAATTATTAAGAAATTTATAAGTACATGATAGGTTTACATTACCATTTATTGTATTCACAATTGTAAATTTCCAATTCTTCCATACTTCATCCTTCGGCATGTTTTCTGGGTCGTTATTAGGCCTCCCAGTTAATAATATTCACAATATTACACAATTCTTCTTCGGTGCATACTATTATTTTCAAGTTAATCCACTATCAGCCATATTTACACCAATTTAAAAAAATTTGTTGTCACTTAATGACTACTCATCAAAATGACGACGTTTCGGCTCGTCGAGCCATTTTCAAGTCTAAAAAATTTTTTTCATTTACAATCATATATTAAATTTTAACATATTTCAAATTATAAAGATACTTATTATGTACCTAAAATACCCATCATGTACCTGTCATATTCACTTATGCGAATTGCAAGCGTCTACAATATAATAAAATTCATTATTATTGCCATGTTCATCTTTAATTATTTAACAACATTATTATTACTCATCTTTACTATTACATGATTCAAAATAAGTTAAATTTACCATGTTTCTGAGATAATAGATAAAATAGATCCACATGTAATATTGAGTAACAGCATTATATATGTTCATAATAAATAGTCTTCCCCTACTCCTATAAGAATAACCAGTCACTGAATAGAAATGAGATGGATGACATGTGGGTGACTCAGAAACATGGTAAATTTAACTTATTTTGAATCATGTAATAGTAAAGATGAGTAATAATAATGTTGTTAAATAATTAAAGATGAACATGGCAATAATAATGAATTTTATTATATTGTAGACGCTTGCAATTCGCATAAGTGAATATGACAGGTACATGATGGGTATTTTAGGTACATAATAAGTATCTTTATAATTTGAAATATGTTAAAATTTAATATATGATTGTAAATGAAAAAAATTTTTTAGACTTGAAAATGGCTCGACGAGCCGAAACGTCGTCATTTTGATGAGTAGTCATTAAGTGACAACAAATTTTTTTAAATTGGTGTAAATATGGCTGATAGTGGATTAACTTGATAACCATGGGCCTTTTAACAGTACTTCCTCATATAGTACTGAACCCAAGACCCTTCAAAGTTTGTAGTGGTGCATATTTCTTTTTTTATATATATTCTATTATTATTATTTAAATATTTATATCCCTTTTTAGAATGTATAGATTTTGACAGCAGTGGATTATTGCATAGGTATTACTACTCTTATACTACCTATGTACAGATTCCTTGTAGTCAGAGGAAATTGTTTCCCGTCAAAACAACTCTATCCAACAACAGCTTGATCTCGCATGCCATGTAGATTTTAATGTTTTTGGTCCATCTATTGCATGCTGCAGATAGAAATGACATGAATGAACTGGGCAAGGAGACAAAAGAGGAGTTGGCCATGACCCAGAATGAAAAGATCCTGATGGGATTGAGATACTAATGACTTTGAAATTAAGACAGATGTTCAATCCTTTAGTTCCTGCCCATTTCCAATAAGAGGGGATGGAGAAGGAGGAAATTACTCTTCATTGCATGACCAGATATGGTGAATTGAGCCCAGTCTCTATGCTCTTCATAGAGATACTTTTATATTGTGGAAAGGTTCCCTGATAAAGTGATAGAAGGAGATGATGTTGATGTTCTTCCCAGCCAGGAATTGGCTAGCTAACTTTTTTCTATATACAATGTTTCTTCCTTTGTTGCACTAAATTAATTTGTCTTCAAATGCTTTCCAATGTTCTGCCAAACACAACTTCCAAATTGGCGACACTATCTTCTACTCAACTCAAGCTCCCTGGGGGTTACTCTGTCTTGTAATTCCAAACAACTAGTCTCTCTATCAAACAACTTTCAAGATGGTAATACTATTACTGGGTTTTTCCCACTGGAGCCAGGATCTCTTCCCCTATCCTCTCTTCATTGCAGTCACGAAACAACTGCTCGCCAAAACAAATCCTTTGTCCCTCTCCTCTTTGGGATTTTCTTTTTTGGCGAAACTACAGAGCAGCCATTCACTTTTCCCTGAACTAGTGAAACTAGATTAGCCTGTTTTTTAACTATTACATTAATTTATTTAATCCTTTTTAACAACTTTCAATTAAGGTGTATATTACAATATATTGTTGGAAAGTGGAGAATTGAAAAAAAAATAACAATATCTAATATGGAAATTGTAGAAGGTAACGGAGAGTGGCGAAAAAAATACAAATAGATATTTTTAAAACCTAGCATTATTCAATGTAAATCACGTGTTTTCAAGGAAATTAAATGAAATTTTCTTACTAAATGTAAACTTTTAGTATTTTTTTTAGTTTGAAAAAGTATTTAAAATCCACGGATTCAAGGCAATGACACTGTTTAAGAGACTATTTGTACTTGTATGAAAGAAGAAGTGAAATATAAAAATATTTCATGGATATGTTTATAACCTTAAATTCATTTACTGTGGTTTGTTAACTCTAGATATTATATTATATTTAAATAATTTGATATCTATTGGCCGTTTATGCCAGAAAATCATCAAGAAATCTTTTAGAAAATTCAATTAATGAATAATTTGATGAATTTTCCCTTTGTAAAATCCCAACATTATCCACTTACAATTAATGTGACAACTTTTGCCCTGTCTATGACAGCAATGTAAATTTCTTAATTACATTTTAGCAAACTTTGCAATGGAAAATAACTGTTTAATAACTAATAGTCGTACGATCCATAATCAAGGGAACGTACAACCCATAATCAACTGGTGATATAATAAATAGGACTTTTGTTATTTTAATGGTATTAAAGAATATATTAATGCTAATAAAAATAAAGAAAAAACTTCATCTTTAATAAAAACTTATATCAGTATTGAAGAAAATTTTCTTTTATGTGTAAAATTGTTTTTACATCCCTGTCTCCATGTGTTCTCCAGTTCCCATGACTTGAACTTCATTTATAATGTCACTTCTTGTTTGTGATAAAAACAAGAGTTTGTTTATAGTTCAAGACTTAATCTGTTATTTTGGCGTTGATTTAGAAGGTAAATGTGTTGTCTTCCTTTGAAAATCGCATGCCATGCGGTGGAGTAAGCAATGGTGAAGCTAACATAAAGTTTTTCTATCATTCATATTAAAAAAATCTCTGATTGATCTCAATTTGAAACCTCTAAATCCGTTTACTAGAACTAGTCATGGGAACTAGGGCTCATAGGTCAAGGAACTACATTTCCCAAAATTTATAATCGCTGCTAAAAATTTATAGAACCATAATTTCTACATTTTTCAATCTATCCCATCATCAGAAACCCAAAAAATAAAAATGAATTTGCTCAATAAAACTACTTAATTCAACTACTGCAGATTTAAGGGTTAAAATTTAATTTTTAATATGTTATTCTGATATTGATAATTTTTTGTTAACCTAATTTAAATTAGATTAACTAACTGTATTTGATATCTGTCTAAGAATTGATAACTATTAAATTCTAAGAATGTTAATTATTTTTTTAATTTCAGATGTTTTATTCTTGGTATTATTTTTATCTGGTATGAGTATGATTTCATCAGTATACTTTGTATCTCTCTTATTCAAGACAATGCGAACAGTTGTAGTATTCTACTATGCTGCAGTCTTCGTGTTTGGTAATACTATATGATTATTTTAAGTTTAAAGAACATTAATTCCAAGAATTCTTTACCAACACTCATGTAACATTTATCTTTTTAGGTTTTATTGGTTATTTTGTTATAAATATACCAAATACCGATCCATACAGTCAAATTATGAAATTACAACCTGTTACTGCTTCAATACTAGCATTGACGGACTTTTCAACATTGGCTGAAAAAAAAAGAACCTGTAAAGACTGTCCATCAGAAGAATGTGCAGGTGTGCTATAAAAATTTCAGTTTTTACATATTCATTGAGTTTTACATAATTTACTGAATATTTTTTGTGTTCTCTAGATATCCTAAAATCAGCGTATTTAAAAGATGAACATCTTAGGAATGACTTGTTATTTCTTGCTGGGGATTTACTTCTTTTCTTTTCTCTAGTGGTTTTAACAGATTATGGTTTGTTCCCTTTCTTGTGGAATAAGATTTATTCTATATTTATTGGAAATATTGAAAATACTGACCTAAAGAAGGTAGACAGTGATGTTGCCAGAGAGAAGAGCAGGGTAGATGGTTTACAAATCTCAGGTACAGTAACAGTTAGGACTTAATAATTGCTATCAAATTAACGTTATATTATTTAAAAATTTTCACTTACATTAAGTGAATAAAATATTATATTATGTATCTAAGATTTAAAGTATGTATCTAAGATCTGTTTTTACCCGATTACAGAACAGTCACAAAAAGTAGATAGAGACCCAGCAACATTTTCATTTACTTGAAAGAAGTAAAGATATCAATTCTTTAGAATCCAAGTACTTACTGTCCTTTTTTTTTTTTTTTTTATCTTATTTATCCGCACCTGTCAATTATAACTATTGACAATCAGCAGATGTGCTGGTACAGTCATGAGAAAATAAAAAAAATAAATAAATAAAATAAAATAAAAAGGCTTGATAGGCATGAGGAAAAGCAATACCCAGCGGCATACCTTGGCTTTTACTTACTTACATACAATTACATAAGTAGGTCCCTCATCCAGACCCTTTTCAGTCGTCTTCTGGAGTTCTCCGGCATAATAGTCGTGGCCATTTCTTTAATTAGCTGGTTGGAGTGTCCATGTAATTTGTTATGAAATCGTTTGTAGTAAGTTCGTATGTGTTCATTGATCGTTGGCACGTGTAAGTCAGTGTGTAAAGTGTTATTATTCACGTACCAGGGTGCTTGGGTAATTAGTCGTAGTATTTTAGACTGAAAAGTTTGAAGTCGTTTTATGTGTGTTGGTTTTGCAATTCCATATATTTGTAGTCCATAAGTCCAGAGAGGTTTTAATAGGTATGTATAAATATTTAATTTCTGTCTTGCTTTTAATTTCGAATGCCGTCTTAATAATGAATGCAATAGTTTTAATCTGTGATTTAATGATGCACGTTTTTTCTTTACATGTGGACCCCATGTCATTCTTCTGTCAAACGTCAGGCCTAGGTATTATACTCTATCTGTTTGTGGAATCGGCATGTTATCTAAGTATACAGAAGGGCATGTTTCTAGTCTTAGAGTAAATGTGATGTGTTGTGACTTTTGATAATTTATTTGAGTTTTCCATAGTTTACACCAATCGTTTATTTTTTGTAAGTGATGTAGGTTAAGTGATGCCTGTGTAGGATTATCGTGTCTAGTAATGATAGCAGTGTCGTCTGCGTAGTTTGCTGTAAGTGTGTGGATACTTTGAGGAATGTCGTGTGTGTATGTGATGTACAGTAGTGGGGCTAAGATTGACCCCTGAGGTACGCCAGCTAAAATAGGTCGAATTGAGGATAGACCTGAACCGTGTCGAACGGAGAAAAATCTGTCTGAGAGAAAGGAGTGAAGAATTAAGTAGTAGGTTGGTGGGAGTATGGTCTTAAGTTTGAAGAGAAGCCCCTGATGCCATACTTTGTCGAAAGCTTGGGCGACATCCAGAAATACTCCGGTTGCATATAGTTTTCGCTCTAGTGCTGTCGATATGTAGTCAGTTACCCTGTGTAATTGTTGTGTTGTTGAATGTAATTTTCGAAACCCGAATTGATGGTCAGGAATAATCTGTTTGTCTGTTAGTATATGTAATAGTCGTGAGTATAATAGTTTTTCAAATAATTTAGAACACACTGGAAGCAAACTAATCGGTCTATATGAAGAAGGATTGTTAGTTTCTTTGTCTGGCTTTTTAATCATGGTTATATGAGAGTATTTCCACTGTATTGGAAATTTTGTGGTCCTAAGAATGCAATTGAAGATTGTGGTGAGAAACACTAGAGCTTTCCTTGGCATTTGCTGGACCGCCTCAGCATTTATCAAGTCATGACCAGGGGTTTTTCTTTTCGGTAATTGTCTAATTTCTTGTGCAACTTGTGATGGTGTGAAAGGAGGTGGTGGTAGTGTGAGCTGTAGTGGTATGTCTAAGTTATTTTGTACAAAAATATCATGTTCTGTATTAACGAAGTCCGTATGTGATTTAAAAACAGAGGAAAGATGAGTAGCAAAGAGTTCAGATCTCAGATCTGAGACTTCAGATCTTTCTTCGTCCGAAACAGCCCAAGAACCATCCTCTCTTCGTAGGGGTGCTGACACCTCACGATGCTTTAAAAGATTCCTTGTGTGTCTCCATAAACTTCCATCGTCCGTCGGAAGGTTGTTAATAAAATTGTCGTAGTTTGTGCTTTTGAATTTTTGAATATGTCTTTTAAGTTCGTTGTTCAATCTGTTAAAAGTTTGTCTGTCTGAAGGAAGTCTATTAGTCTGCCACACTTTACGAGCTCTTCTCTTTGCCCTGATTAAGTCCCTTATGTACATTGGATAATGGGGCAAGTTCACTGCTCTTTGTGACCTAGATGTTTATGAGGACCATGCTGCATCTTGTATACTTTTTGTAAAAGTTTCAACGGCTTCTTCTAGTTCCCCTTGATTTTTAATTGAACCTGGAACAGAAATATTGTTGTTCAAATGGTCTCTATATGCGTCCCAGTCCATGCAACCCCTGTTATGAGCTTAGGTCTCTTTTGTGCTTCAGAAGGCGCGTCGAAGAGAACCAGTGCACCGAGGAGTGATCAGAGCAAAGATCAGAGCTTGTATTGACGGCAAAAGGTACGGTTCTAAGTCCTTTTGTAATAAAGAAATCAAGTAAGTCGGGAGTTTTGTGTCTGGAGGTGGGCCAATAAGTGGGTGAATTTGGAGTTATTGTGTCTAATGAAAGTTCATGGAGGACAGACCAGAGATTTCTGCCTCTAGGAGTAGACAACCTTGAACCCCAGCCTTGATGCTTAGCATTATAGTCTCCACCTGCGATGAAGCATCTTCCGAGGCGTTTGAAGAACTCAGAAAACATCGTGGATGTAAGCTTGTACCTAGGGGGGCAGTAAACTGAGGCAAATGTAATAGTGTAATGTTTAGTGTATAATGTTATTCCTGTTGATTGTATGTCGGGTGTAATGGGTAAGTCTATGGGATTGTGTTTTAGTGAATTTTTTATGAGTATTGCTGTTCCTCCATGTGCAGTTTTGTCTGGGTGATCAGTTGTATAGATAGAGTAATCCTGGATGTAAATTTTTGATCGAGGTGTCAGGTGTGTTTCAGTAATGAGTGCAACGTCAATCCGTTTTTCGTGCAAGTATAAGTCAAGTTCAGTACTGTGTTGTGTCAGTCCGTTGGCATTCCACAAAAGAATTGACAGAGAATCCGCAGTTAAATTATTGTGGGACATAATTAGGGCACCAGACCTGTGTAAACTGTGATAGCTGTTGAAGAAGAATGAAAAGGGGCTGGATTAAGTTATTTAACCCATTAATTATATTAAATAACTGGGAAGAGCTATTATCTACCGGAGGTACCGTCTGGGTAATGCCTCCCCTCATACCTGTACATGTTTTTTGGTTCTGGGGTGCTGAGTTCGATGATGGTTGATTATGTTGCTGCTGAGGTCCAGCGATGTTTTGTGGTTCCGCTTGGTTGATCCGCTGCCGTATTGGAGGGAATTCATGGATGCCTGGAGGTCCCTGTGGTGGCTCTGCTACTGTGGGATGCTGAAGACGGTTTCTTGAATTGCGCTGAATCCTGAGATCTTGAGCCTGGTGCTGACCACTGCAATTGGCGCACTTAGCAGGGGTCTCTCTAGTTTTTAAACATGAGCTGCTTTCGTGATATTCGCCGCACTTCACACAGCGTGGTCGATGATTGCAATATGTTTTAGTGTGCCCGTATTGCTGACACCGAACTCACTGAGGAATACTTCGCTTCTGACGTGGTTCCTCGATTTTAATGTGAGAATAATATAAAAACTCAATTTTAAAAATATCTTCTCTGAATGTCTCTTTTGTAACGTCTACGAAAAACATAGGAAGAGGTTTTTTAAATTGAGATATTACATTGACTACATTGGTTACTTCATAGCCCATATTTTTAAATTCTTCTCTGATTATCTCGACTGGTGTTCCATGATGGAGATATTTAACAACAACTCTTGGGCACCTGTCCTGTGGGAGTTGGTAGGTGTGAAAGTCGGCACCTTTATTTCGTAGGCTTGAGTTTAATTTTCGATATATATCAGGTGTTTGTGGGTAAACAGTGACTCCTTTTAATGTCGATTTTGTCTTGAATGTATTAGGGCCAGCTTCATTTTCTAAGAATGAAATTAAAGCATGACAATTCTCCACACCATTCATAAAAATTGGTGAGATTTTATCATTTTGAGGCGGTTGTCTTATTTCTTCAGTTAGCGAGTTGATCTTGATTAGAACCTCAAAACTGTTAGAGGTTGGAATAGGTTCTGTTGGTCTTTTTTGTGCTCTTGGCTCGCTTGAATCTGACATAGATCTTTTACGACCAATAACCAGCTCCCAGCCAACGTCAGTGTTTGTATCACTATTTGCTAAGTTCATATTGCTTACCTCCTCGTGTTGTGACCGTTCCACCATCGTTGGCGGTGAAATCCGCTCAACCTTTGTTTTGTTTTTTGTCTTCAGCTCTGTTGTCTTCAAAAAACACTTTTGCTACACAAAAAATGAGTACTTATACTAAATTATCACTTTTTAGAAGAGACAAAAGCAAATTAACCTTTATCGTTGTTTAACATCAACCACTTACTGTCCTAAAACATGAAATGACTCAGTTATCCTATACCCTGGTATTTCAAGTTAAAAATTTTAATTTAAGTTGTGACATTTTGACTGGAAGATGTGTGGTTGATACTTGGCCCTTATGTTAGTAAGGTGGCCAGATGTGGCGTTTTCAATAAGTCCCGATTTTCGGAAAGAATGTTAGGAAATGGCTATTTCGCCAGGATATGTGTTTTATATCATTTTTGTTGATTATATAATGTTAAACTTTAATAATGAAAAATTGTTATTGAGAACTGCTTAGCAAAGTTCGCATTGTTGATCAGTTGTTAGAATTCTACAACTATTGTCTGGACTTAATGATAATGAGTAACACAAAAATGATCTTTTTAATAAGATATCGTTATAAAAAATATATATAGGTAAGGCAAAGGTTGCATCTTGGGCATCAGCAAATTAACTTCATTTACTACTTCAATTACCGAACTGTTGTCACCTTCAATAAGTTTGTAGCATCGAATAAGAGCTACTTGATTGTGTTCAAACTGTTGGCACAAAACATTTAAGTCTTAAAAATTGCGTTATTATTGATGTCGTAAATTAGATGTTAAATACATCATCAAATTATACACTCCTTAAAAAAAAAATGCGCCTTCAGAATTAAATTCTCAACCATGTTACAGCTGACTGATATAGTAATACTATGTCACCTGATTAACATTTATGTACAATTAATTATTGTAACAACAAATTTAAATTATTGTTTGAACTTTTTTACCAAATTTTTAATCAAGAACCTTCCTCCCTCTTCTCTCCCCCGATCAATGGTGTACTAATGTCCAAATCTGGTCACCTTACCCTTATGTCAAGTTATCCTCATTAGTTAACTAGCCATAATAACATTTGATTAGTCGGGTACATTTTTAAAACTGATAGCCCTAGATTTGATAAAAATTAGCATTACATTTAACTGAAAAATAAATGGATCTTTTTTTCACTAAACTGAAAGCTACTATAGTTAATAATGTAAGACGGTGGTATCAGTAGGTGCAAAGTCAAAGTGGATGACAATTCAAAAATATAGTTGAGGAAAGTTATACCGAGTATTAAACATCTAGAATCTCCACCAATATTTCAAATATGAAGAGGAGCAGAAAAAGAATTATTAGATTATCTGGAGAGAATTTTCTTTCATAAATACTTTTAAAAACCTTGTATCATCCCAAATTTGAGTCTTGAAGATCATTCTCAAAATATACCCTTCTCTCTATGAAGAAAACTCAAATTTAAATACAGAATATAATTTGATCTTCTTCTTCTTTCATGGCGCTATAAGTTGTGTACAGTCAGGGCTTGCTGCAGATTCAAATGCCAGTCATTCCTGAGAAGTGCAGCCACCTTCCAATTGTGGACTCCAAGGACAGCTCAACCTTGTGTAAATTCGCTTCGCTAATAATTTTCTTATTTTTTTTATTTTATTTTATTTTTTTTGGCTCCTCCCCTTCCTCGCCTTTAAGGCTATACGGGGTTCTCCCGGGCCAGGGAGTATGGGCGGGGATTTAAAAGACTTCCCCAGCACCGGGATGCGAACTCGGAACTATTTTTCATCATTGTCTCATATGTCAGGTTGCCGGGCAATGGCGATGCTGTGCCCACTCGTTAGCCCATTCGGCCATCCCGCCCACTATAATTTTCTTAATATATGATCTCCAGGCATCCAACAAAAGTGTCAAGCCCATCTTAATCCATCAATTCTTCACAACATAGACATCTCGGTATAGCTCCTGCTGCTCATGGTTTTTTTCATTTTGCATTTCTGGTTGTTATTTAGTATTAGGCTGAATATTTTTTTAAAAATACAATGTTGAAATCGAAGAAGCGCTGTTTCTTGAGTTCTTGATATCGCCTAACACTCCGAACCATCTATGAAGAGTGGTCTAATTAGGATTTTATATATGTACAGCTTGGTTTTGTGTGAGATCTCCTATAAATCATCCCCTTTTCCACTGAATAAGAGTACTATAGGTTATGTCGGTGCTCACATATATATATTTAAAGTAGTTATTGGTTTGCAATTATTAGTTTTTTCTTATTCTGTTATTTGATTAATTGCAAAGTTGGTTGTTAGATTGATCTGTTTAATAAATGGATTTTTTTTAATCTTTAACTTGTAGTAGATGGCCTCTAGTATTTACTCCTTAATGTGACATTGAGTGAGGGAATGTATAGGAATGTAGGTTGCACTATGAATTGGACTCAATTGTGCAGTGGACTGTTTGTTTATTGAAAAGCATCAAATCTGTAAACAATTGACAAAAAAGGTACAGAACAAAGAAAGGAAGAAGCCAGGAAAAATGCCAGCAGGTGGCAGCAGCTGGAGGACGCTGGAGAACAAAGAAGACACTTGAGGTGGATAGAAGCCTACTCCACTGAAGATTAAGAAGATCAAGCCTTGAGTTATAATACTTTAATAGATTAAATTTATTACAGTTGTGAAAATAAATTATTTTGTTATACAAGAGTGAATAGTCCTTATATTTAGTTTTCCTATATGCCTCACAATTGAAGAATAACAAACCAGATGAGTCAATTCATTCAAAGTGTATTTACTCAGTCCCAAATTTCATATATATATATATATATATATATATATATATATATATATATATATATATATATTTCTTATCATATTATATATATCAATAATATATTCTTATTATTTCTTGACACTCAGTGTCACAAAAGCATTAGGTTCTCAAATTCCCAACAACAGTAAACACCAGTGTTACCACGCGCTCTGTGACAAAACCTCGTACTCAAGCCTGCTACATCCTCGTACGCTTGCTCATTCATAACTTCCACTGTTATAATGCCAGTGTTATTGTTTTTTTTATAGTAAAATTAGATCAGAATTTTTTATTTTTGCCTCCATTCATATATTTTAAAGCCTTTTTACATTACTTTTTTTAAGTTCATGGGTCAAGAAGTAAAATTAGCTTAATAAAATATATAAAAAGTTTATATATTTTTATAAACTACTGAAAACGTTATATAAAAATTAAAATAGCTAAATAAACTTCTTAAAGTACTCTTCATAAGTATTTATTAGTAGATCCAAGATTTAATTTGGGGGAAAGACTAATTTTTTTTCTTTTTTCTAAAAACAAAACAACTACTTTTATGAAAGGATGTTAGTGGTTCTGGAAGGCCAATACAAATTAATTATTGGGGCATTAATGGTTTTAGAGATATCCATTATAATATAAAAAAATAATAGATTGTGATTGTTTCAGTATTTAGCTTACAATTAGGTCTCGCACAAAATAAATGTGGACCAATGAAAAAATACTTTATTTTTCATTATTTAAGATGGGTTCATTATGAATACTAGTTAATTTTTCAATTAATTACTTTACTCGATTAAAAATCGAAAATAATTTTTTTTAAATTACGCTAATAATTTTTAAAAAAATTTAATTTATCTAGAATATATTTACAATTGCAGTTTTATGAAGGAAATAATAATTACAAAGGCAATAATGGATATACTTTCTCGTATTTTATTTTATGCTCGATAAAAATTACGGTAAAAGTTTCTGTTTAATTTTCTATTACAACACATTTTAAAAAATATATATTTATAAAAAAAGTTTTATGAAGGAAATAATGGATATGGTTTCTTATATTTTATTTTATACTGAATAAAATCTAAAATATTTTTTATTTTTTTATTTTCTAGAAAATTAAAAAAAAAACATATATATAAAATCATGGTTTTATGAAGGAAATAATAATCATACTCTAATTAAAGAAGGTATAATTGCAATTTATTTGTCTAGAAAGCAACAGAAGTTCAGTATTTCATATCATTATAAATAATAATACATTCAAAATAACCGTAAAACAATACTTCATTCATAAAAATATAACTTTGCATTGCATACGTCAGCAAAACTTATGTATGAGGTATGAGGCTGATCTATCTTCGTACTTCGTACATTACGTCATAACCTTGTACAAATATAAGGATCCTCATACAAACGGCAACACTGGTAAACACCCTCAAAAAGTCTATATCCAGTGATGGGGTTTTGTTTTAAAACAATTAAAGTTCATGAGTGTAAATAACCAAGACCCTGACAATACAGAAGGCTATTTACAATTGGCCTTATTATTTACAAACTTATATTAGATATAGTTTTTATTATTAATTTTATTATATATCTTTTATTATAGTATAATAACTACAATGTATAAGACCTTGATTCCTCTTTTATCTTTTCTTAAATATGTTTAAAAAATATTTCAATCTATCAACTTTGTCTAAAGAATTCCTACTACAAGTGTTTCTTCCTTTAGAGTCACGAAATGAAATAATAGCAGTTGTGGATGGCCTTGCTAAAAAATATTCTAGCTCCATGGTAGCAGTTGTAGATGTTACATTTGCTGTGTCCAAAGGAGAGTGCTTTGGTCTTTTGGGAGTTAATGGTGCTGGTAAATCAACTACATTTAATATGTTGACTGGAGTCCTGTATCCTACAAAAGGAAATGTTTTCATAAAGGGCCATTCCCTGAACAAGGAGAAAGCTAAGGTAGGAGTAATATTTTTAAGACATGGAATCTTTTTTATAGGGTGTCTACAAAGGAAATTTTCCACAAATTTATGGCTAACAAAAAGGTAAACTAAAATTTAAAAAGTAGGTAACTAAACAACTTTTTTTTATCCTGACACTTTTCACGTTGCCTAGTTGACCTATTGTGTACCATAATTGAAGATATTTAAATAGATTTTGTTGATTCTAAGAATTTGACTGTAATCAGTGTATTAACATGCAAAACAGGTGATCCCTGGCAACTAACCCCATGATAAACCGAAGTTTACAAGATGTAAAATAATTAGGAGTTCGCATCTTGGTGCTGTGGGGAGCTTTTTAACTGTGGCATCAATCTCCCACCCTCTCCTCTGTCCCAGGAAAATCTCCTATATGTATAGCCTCAAGGAAGGGGCGGACAGAAAAAACAAATGAATAACAATTGATCTACATGAACAAATAAAATATGTAAACTAGATTCAATTAAGAAAATAGAAAATGTCGACTAAATGGCCAAGTTGAGGCCTAGTAGTAGGTATTTTACTATGTTGCTATTATGAAAATCTTAGTTTACATTCAATGATAATTATATGTTATCAACGCATCCTAGGATTTTATGATTCATTCATGTTCACCCTTCTATTTTTATGTAAAGATTTTATCAAATTTCTATAACAAATTTGAAGTATCATAGAATTGAGAGTTCAGCTCATTGCCTCAAACCTTTAAATGAAAAAAGAAATATGTCAATTGCTATGTTTATTTTTATAGTGTGTTTTACTAATCAAGCCCCGATAAATCATGTCATTAAACATCGGAAATGGAGGTGGCTGGGGCACATATTTAGAAAGGAGCACAGTGAAACAACACGGCAGCGTCTGGAGTGGAACCTCCAAGGCTGGTGAAGACAACGAACAGCCTAAAGAAACGTGGAAGAGGACTCTAGCGAAGGAAATGCTCACCGCTGAAGACCTGTTCTGGAGTCAAGGAGCTGGCTAAAGATCAATATGCCTGGCAGAAGGTCGAAACAAGCCCTATGCCCAACCTAATGGATTGTAGGAACTAATAATAATTATACAGTTCTTTATGCAATAATTATGTTGTTAATGTTAATTATCTCTCATAATTTTTATACTTATTAAACTCCTGAGACTTTTCTGGGGGGGAGGGGCGGTAGATCCATCCCCTCCCTCCAGCCGGAATGGAAAGTCTGCACCCGTGGCTATAAGCTACCTTAACTTTACTTTTGATATAGCTCAGGCTTGTTTGGATCTGTTCTGAGCCTTTCCTAATCAGCTCTTCTGCATGTTTACTACCTGAAATTTCAGAACGTCATGGCACTTATTCTACTCTTTGATTATTTTGTGGAAAAGTGTTAAGAATTATATTAAAATTCTTTAGTTGTTGAGACCTAGAATTGGGAGAGTGGATAGAGGAGCGCAGAGTAAGGAGTTCCAGGATGTTGTGAGGGTTTTTGGTTCTGAAGGCTTGTAAAAGGAAAACACCAAGGAGGAATTGTCGTCGGGAAGTAGAATAAAGCAACTTCAACTCGGTGCACCAGAGTGTGGCGGGGTGGCTGAGCGGGCTAATGCTTGTGTAAAACACGCTTTGCCCAGCAACCTGATAAACTGATAACATTATACAAATAATTACAAGTTCATGTCACGGTGCCGGTGGAGTGGTTTTTAACTCTGGCATTAATCCCTTGCCCTCTCTCCTGGCCTGGGAAAAATCGTGTACAGCCGCAAAAGCAAGCAAGAGGACAAAGAAATAAAATAAATAAATGGTGTGTTCACTGCAGACCTGTTGAATCTCTCCTTTTCAACGTTGAGGCTTACAATTTTCTCAGTCAGGGATTGTAAAAAGGCGCCAACAGAGCTCTCATTGATGTCATCAATCCCTGATTGGTGCTTGATGCCATTATCTTCAAAATTTTCTGAAAAGGATAAATCTTCTTCCAATACTGAAGAACACAAAAAATAAAATTTTTCTTTAATTGGTTCAGACATTTTTGTTTCCACTAGTATGTGGGTGATCAAACTGCTGGTACTAGCTCCTCTTCCTGCAGCGGGTATTGATACAATATGATATGCCTAGTACTAAAAGTGGGCTTATAATAGATAGTATATTTTTAGACATCCTCTACATTTTTAGCCAATCAGCCACAGCTCGAGCGTCCTCTACCTAGCTTGGATGTTCATTAGATACTCTGCCTCTTTTGTCTTAGAGTCCTGTCGGGCTCCCCAGAGGGAGAGGGACGGTCGTCACTTGTGTGTGACAGTAGACATCGATAGAAATAGGAAAGACTGAGAATTCACAGACAGTGAGTATGGCACTTTAGCCTGATCTTTCAGCAAAGAGAGGAGGAAGCCCACATCTCAGTCTCCCTTTGCCATTGTATAAAGAAAGTGAATAAGAATCATAATTGTGTAGTTTTCTCGTGTCATTTTCCTCTCATAACATCAGGACATTAGGCCTGACCAATCCAATAATTATTTCACAGAATTTAGTAATGAATTTTTCTCCAGTGCCTCTCCTTCACCTTCATCATAGTTACTTATAAATATTTTGGTAAAAAAATTTGACAAAACAGTAAATATTTCATCTTTTTTTCAATTCTTTAATTTCGGAATAGGAGGGGTCAGGCAATGTTAGTCAATACAGGGAATCAGACTAATGTAATTTTCTAGTCATCCTGTTTTTAAGTTGTTTTTTCTTCATAACACATTTCTATTTCTAGTGTTTGTCAATGATTGGGTATTGTCCACAACATAATGCCTTAATTGAAAGTCTTACATCAAAACAAATGTTGACCTTATTTGCCCGACTGCGTTTGGTTCCTTCACAACATGTGGACAATGAAGTAGAAAAATGGATAACTCTTTTTGGTGAGATGAAGAACTATATTTATATTTATCTTAATATTTTATATATATACATTTAGTGGGTCAAATTTAAATGAAACCATCCACATTAAATGTGATATTATTATATATAATATCGATTGTACTATGTCCTATTAGATCATTAGTTTATTATAAAAAGTTATTAAATAGCACTACAGAAAATTAAATAATCAATTTTTTTTCAATAATCTTTAATAATTTTTTTTCTGTGAAACCAGAACATTGTGCACTTATTGTAACTATATTTGATATATTAAAGACTTAATGTCAGTTTGATACACTTTCTGGAATTTATTAATAAGCTTGAAATTCTCAAAAATATACATAAAAGTTTAACTCCATCAAAAATGTGCTTACTGACTTTTTGCAATAAATTAATGATATAGCATTTCCAAGTCAATTTCAACCTTTTCCAAGTCAAATTCAATCTATTCCAAATCAAATTAAACTTTTTCCATATCAAATTTAAACTTTTCCATTTCAAATTAAACCTTTTCCATTTCAAATTAAACCTTTTTTTATTTATTCAATTATCTTTAATTTTTCAATGTGTGGGTTTGTTATCGTATGAGTAGTTTTTGAAAATAACCTCCTTTTTAAGATTATGTGACTGCGTTTCGAATTATTTAAGTTTTTTTGACTTATTCGATATAAGGGTGTATTTTTATGTTTCCCGATCAGTAAATTTTGAAAATGACATCCATTTTATGTTCACGCCACTGTGTTTTGATTTATTTAAATTTATCCAATATAAAGGTCTACTTTTATGTTTTCGGAGCCGTAGATTTTGAAAACGACCTCCATTTTAAGATTAGGCCACCGCGTTTCTACTTATTTGAGTTTTTCGGATATTTTTCTTATGAGGGTGTATTTTATGTTTCCGGAGCTGTAGATTACGCCACTGCGTTTCAACTTATTTAAGTTTTTTTTTATTTATTCGATGTAAGGGTGTATTTTTGTTTCCGGAGCTGTAGATTTTGAAAATGACCTCCATTTTATGATTACACCGCTGCGTTTTGACTTGTTTAAGTTTTTCGAATTTATCCAATATTAAGGTCTACTTTTATGTTTCTTGAGCCGTAGATTTTGAAAATGACCTCCATTTCATGATTACGCCATTGCATTTTGACTTATTTAAGTTTTTCGAATTTATCCAATTTAAAGCTCTACTTTTATGTTTTCGGAACCGTACATTCTGAAAATGACCTCTATTTTATGATTACGCCACTGCGTTTCAACTTATTTAAGTTTTTAGAATTTAACAAGTATAAAGGTCTAATTTTATGTTTCTGGAGCAGTAGATTTCCCCCATTTTGTAAATGACCCAATTTCAAGTTTATGCCACTGTGTTTTGGATTATAAAAGTTTTTTTTTTACTTTTTCGGTATAACTATCTACTTATATGTTATCCGAGACGTATTGAAATTTTTCTAATCTTTAATATTTAAATTTATCTAATATTTAAGCTCCATTTAAGCCGCTGCATCTTGATTAATTAGGCTTCATTTTGGAATTTTTTCAATACAAAGTTTCATCAATATGTTTTCGAGTATGAATAAATAAATAAATATTATGAAGCTAAAGTTAAGTTAACCACAGAATACAAACTAAAAAGCCGGAAAGCAAATGGTTATAAATTTAACCTTCCGTATTCAGATTTTTCAGCTAATTGTTCGAAATCTTATAATTTTGTGACAGGAGACCACAATATTAAAAAAGATAACTAAAATTAAATTGAAAATGAGACAATACAGATTTTATTTTTTTTAATTAGATATTTTTATTTATTTATTGAAAAATAAATTAATCCTTCGTATTTTGTTTTTATTCGAAGGAAAAATCTAAAACACTTAAAAAAACCGAAACACAGTGGCCTAATCTTAAAATGTAAGTCGTTTTAAAAAGTAAGGCTCCGGCATCATAAAAGTAGACCTTTAAATTGAATAAATTTGAAAAACTTGAATAAGCCGAAACGCAGTGGCATAATCTTAAAATGGAGGTCATTTTCAAAATCTACGACTCCGGAAACATAAGAATACACTCTTTTATGATAAAAATTCGAAAAACTCAAAGAAATCGAAACGTGGTGGTCTAATCTTAAAATGGAGGTCATTTTCAAAATCTATGGCTCCGGAAACATAAAAGTAGACCTTTATATTGGATAAATTCTAAAAACTTAAATAAGTCAAAACACAGTGACGTAAACATAAAATGGATGTCATTTCAAAATTTACTGATCGGGAAACATAAAAATACACCCTTATATCGAATAAGTCAAAAAAACTTAAATGATTCGAAACGCAGTCACGTAATCTTAAAATGGAGGTTATTTTCAAAACTAGGTACAGGACCACATAATACTAGTCCCTAATAAATCCGAATAGGTACAATAAATCGATATTCGTAAGTGAAAATTCTACTTAGGAGAGCGTAATAATAGACTTTCATATTGGAGGGGGGGAGGGGATGACCATTATTTTTTTAAAAAATATAAAATTTACAAAAAATTAAAACATTAATTTGAAATGAAAACGGTTGAATTTGAATTGGAAAAGGTTTAATTTGAAATGGAAATGGTTGAATTTGACTTGGAAAAAGTTTAATTTGATCTGGAAAAGGTTGAATTTGACTTGGAAATAATTGAATATGACATAGAAATATCACACTGAAAAAATCTAAAATGTTAAAATAAATAGATATGCAACCGCGTTATCAAATTTTTTGATATTTTGTATTTTTCAAAAGCTATGCCTTCGATAATATAGTAAGTGGCCTTCATTTCGAAAAAAATCGAAAATTGATAAAAATTCGAAAGTTTAATTTGACTTGGAAAAGGTTGAATTTGATTTGGAAAAGGTTGAAATTGACTTGGAAATGCTGTATATGTTATTTATTAAAAAAAAAAAATTAATAAATACATTTAGTTAAATACTTAGAAATTGGGATCTTACCATGAAGTATATTATACCTAAATCTGCCTATAATAAATCCTATTATTACAGGTTCATCCCATGCATAAGAGGCTTAAAAATTTGGCCTCCTAAATTGTTTTTTCTAGTTTCTAATCAACTAATATTTCATTTTTTCACAGCATTTTACAATAAATAACAGTATGCATGATATGAAATATGTTAAGGAAACAATCAAAAGTATGGAACAACAAGCAATTCTAAATGAGAAGGAAAAAAAAATCTCCATTACAAAATTTTTGGTTTATTATTTTCAATAATCAACCATTGTGATCGACCAAAAAATTCAAAAACTTAACCCCCTCTCAAAATTTGAGGTTTCAGTTTCAGGATGCATAGAATTCGAAAAACGAATAACAATTTTTTTGTCCGTCCGCGCATTTTCTCCGAAACTACTGGACCGATTTTTTTCAAATTTTGATAAAAAATCAGAGGTCACCCGAGGATGATCCTCCTTCATCAACATTACTATCCACCTTTTACTTTTTAAAATGGCGGCCGATAAGCCTGCATTGCTATAGACTGTAGCTCCTAAACGAATGTACAGATTTCAATGAAACTAAAGTCATTTTCTTGATGCCCTTTAAATTTATCTATATAACATACTTCAATGAAAAGAAGCTGGAAAAAAGTTACGAGGGATGGTAAAATTAAATTCCGAATAACTCGAAAAGTTTATACTTTTTTGTTGATATTGTGATAAGATGTTTCAAAGGTATTTAAATTTCATCAAAATCAAAGCACTATTAGTAGAGATATCGCGGTTTTTTCCTTATTTTGGTTTATTATTTTCAATAATCAACCACTGTGATCGACCAAAAATGGTTTTTTAATAGTTTACGAAAATTTCCTAAAAAAAAAAAAAAAATGGTTAAAATCGGACAATTATTAGCAAAGATATGGTCTCCGGTTTTTTTTAATATGTTCTACTCCAAATGTTATATCCTTGGTTTGGTTTTTAAATTTTTAATGTGTTACTGAAGTAATGAAAGTTGACAAAAAAAGTTTTGTCCAATAATTGGAATCACCTTTTGTTTATTTTTCTTTGTAACTCAGAAGGTAATGTTACTTTAGATGTATTAATTGTTTGAAAATAATAAACCACTGTGAAATAATTTGCACCATTTTTTTTATGAAATTGGAACATATATTGTCTATTTATTAAGGAAGGAAGCATTAGAGAAATTTGAATAAATTTTAATGCATTTTTATTATCTTAACAACTTAAATATTAATAACTTTAATCACAGATCTGCAATATGGAGTGGGCGGGGTGGCCGAGCAGGCTAACGTGTGTGCACAGCGCCGCCGTTGTCCGGCAACCTGATCTATGAAACAATGGATTTTAAATCCTCGCCCACACCCTCTGGCCTGGGAAAACCCCGTATAGTATAGCCTTAAAGGAGAGGAAGACATCTCCATTTAATGTTCCCGTAGAACTTCATTTGATGACCTTCATCACAATATTTGACCTTTGCAAATATCCTGGCGTCTTGAAAATATTTTATAGCCTCTTCTTCTGAAGACGGCAATTCCCACAATGTGACAACATCCATAATTAATTAACACTAATTCACAGCTAACACAATTAAACAAGGGGAAAAAATAAACAAGGGAATAACTTAGGTTAGATGAGATAAGGGAGGTTATGGGAAATGAGATTAGATAAGAATGGAGGTTTTGACGTTACCTGCTACTAAATAAGTACTGATTAAATCTATACAGAAAATTTTATTAGACAATTATCCTAACCTTATCCTTTCTTACTGTTTTAATTTCCCTCTATGATGAGCATTATCGATATCATGTTACTTCAATCCCCTCCCAGTCTTTTCTTTTGCATGTTCCTGTTACTATTCTCCCGGCTATAGCTACAGTTGGTATGTTGATTTTAGTATATATATATTTTTTTATTTAGCTGTTGTTTTCACCTGTGTCTTGTTTTTTTTAATCTTGAAGGAGGTCTGTAATATGGACTGAAACATCCCCATCTTATAAAGTTTTTAATATATATTTTTTTTTTTATCATCTTGATTATTCACTTGGACAAATATTCAATATAACATGTAGAAGAATACATTCTTTAAACAAAACATTTATTCAATATAAATAAAAAATTTAAAAAAACTTTAAATTGTTAGAATAATAAAAAAAAATAATTTTTTTAACTGTTTGTTAAGGACTCCTGTGGCAAAAACAAATGTTACAATAATTAAATAGGTGGCATTACTGCAATTTTTTTTTTAGGTCTCGAGGAGTATAGCGATGTACCATCTAAAAACTACAGTGGAGGAAATAAGAGGAAGCTGAATGCTGCTCTGGCATTCATTGGTGACCCATCTATAATCCTCCTAGATGAACCTACAAGTGGTGTAGATCCATTCATTCGCAGAAATTTATGGAGTGTCATAGAAGCTTGTGGCAGTTACGATCAAGCCATTATTATTTCATCTCATAGGTAAAATTACTCAACTTATCCACTTAGTTTAATGAGGCTGAAGTGGCCCTTAAATGGTTGATATATACTGATAAACAAATACTTATGAAAGAGAAGTGGGGTTGTGGAGCGGGCTAACACATGTGCGCAGCACTGCATTGCCCATCAACCTGATGGGAGATAATTTGACAAAATAATTAATAGTTCGTGTCCCGGTGCTTTTAACTCTGGCATTAATCCCTGTCCTCACCCTCTGGTCCGGAAAAGTCCTGTATAGTCTAACAGCGAGGAAGGAGAGACCCAAAAAAAAAAAAAACTTAGAAAAATACTAATAGTGTTATTGATATTATAATCCCTTACACGGCAAGTAAATACTGCCATTCCATTCCACCTTTCTGTGTTTTGATGTATTTTTAGATAATAATGGATTGTTCGGTGTTAGCCATTGTTTTACACATTTATTGAAAGGAGAGTAGGAAAAAACTAAATGTTTTCTAAGAATTTCAGCATAAGATTATATAATTTTGTATATTTGAAGGCAATAAAAAAGTAAAATAAAAACAAAGTGGATTTCCTTTTATTTTGTTTAATAATAGTTTTTTAACGAAGTTGTGTTTTGGTAGTTTAAATGAGGATTCCTTCACAATTAATTTTGTATTGCTACTAATTAGAACCATCTGAAGCAGAAAAAATATGCATGTTTCTCATGTGGCCCTTCATATATTTTTCATTTAGACTTTTAATAAGAAGTTAAAAAATATGCTTCGTATTTGCAAAATTTAATAACTGAATTCGTAATGTAATTTAAAATATTTATATCACAAAATAATATACTTAGGTTTGACATTTTTTTCATTATCATTTAATAAAGACGTGGAAACAGTTCCGGATGAGTTATAAATGGAATTAATAGATTCATAAAACAGCATAGGATTTAAGAAATAAATTTCAAAATGTTTACATGCAAAGTTACATGAATTTAAAAAATTCCCACTATTAGACTTACATGTTGATTTTTATTCATTTATTAGTTACACATATTCCTTGCTCACAATAAATTTGCCATCTACCTCGGTATTCAGCAAATATGATATCAAGGAGAATAAATGATAGCATTCGTCCTGGGCATGACGTTAAACTGCATCCTGAGGGGACCTACCTCATAGCCGTAGTGAAGGCAATTTGTCAAGGAGAAGGCAAATCCGAAGTCAAACCAAGGGTAGGTTGGACTCTTCAGCTGCGGTGAAAGCAACTAGCCTTGGGGAGGAAAACCCAGTAGACAAATGACCCGGTCCTCCAGGCTGGGGGTTGAGCGTGGGGCCAACGACCCCTCCTCCAAAAAAAATTAATGTTCAGAAAACTGAGTTAAAAGAAAAGCCGGATGTTTCTAATGGTAAAAGACCTTAGCGCTCTTAACAGACTAAACTAAAATGGAAACAATGTGAGGTTTCATTAGCCACATGGAATGTAAATACAATGTTAAGACCGGGCAAAATGAAAGAAATTGCCAACCAGCTCATAAAGCACAATATAGATATTGCGGCACTGCAGGAAATAAGATGGAGTGGAAGTGGAAGAGGAAGAATTGATAAAAAGCATTTCTCCATATCATACAGTGATCCGGATAAGAAAACTGGTCAAGCAGGAACAGGATTCTTTGTGAATAGTAAATTGAGACATTCTATTCTTAATTTTGACCCAATATCTGACCGGTTATGTAAACTAAGGGTCAAAGGTAGGTATAGAAATACATCTTTGTTTTCCGCATATGCCCTAACTGAAGATGCTGACGATGACATCAAAGAAAAATTTTATGATATCCTGGGAAGCAACATTAAAAAAGTGCCCAAATATGATGCAATTGTACTATTAGGAGACTTCAATGCCAAAATTGGGAGAGAAGAGGCCCTAAAAGAAGCCACTGGAAGACACTCATTGCATGAAGTAACGAGGGAAAATGGTATGTTACTGGCCCAATGTGCAGAAATGTACAGATTATGTATAACAAGCACATATTTTTCCCATAAAAAGATACATTAAGGTACTTGGAGGGCACCTGGAAGAGAGGTTGTGAATCAAATAGATCTCATCATGATATCAACTAGACATGCATCAAACATCATAGATGTGAGAAGTATGAGAGGTCCTAACTGCGATTCAGACCACTTTTTAGTTAGAGCTAAGTTAAGGCAAAAGATAGCAGAGGTGGCAAGAGCAGAAACTATCAAACGAACAAAATGGGACACTGAAAAATTAAAAGTGGAGAACGAACTAAGAAATTTTCAAGAGGTTATGGATAGAGAGATAGAGAGAGAGGAGTAAGAGGAAAACAAGCCAGAATAGGAGAGTGGGCTAATTGAGAAGAAATGGAAAGTTGTGAAGGAGGCTATAAGCAAGGCAGCAGAAGAGACATTGGGAGAAATTACCAATGGAAGAAATGAAGAATGGTTCAATGAAGAATATGCAAAAGCCATTGAAGAGAAAAATCAAGCCTGACAGAAGATCTTACAGAGGTTCACAAGGAAAAACCAGGAGATCTACAGTATGAAAAGAAGAGCAGCTAAGAAAGTGTGTAGAGAGAAAAAAAGAAAAATGATCTGTAAAAAGCTTGAAAATATAGAAATGTTGAACAATGTGCATGAAAGTAGGAAATTAATTGGTTCAGGAAAGAGTATCAGCCATAGCTGAATAATTGTAAAAGTAAAATAGGAGAGACTTTGGATGGAGAGGGAGAGGTGATGAACAGGTAGACCAAACACTTCTCAGAGTTGCTGAACATTGGCCTGGAGATGGAGGATGTTGAGAGTGGAGAAGAATGTCAGGTGTGGCAACCACAACCGCTAGTTGATGAGCCTGACAGAGATGATATCGAGTTTGCCATCATGGACTTGAAGAACTGTAAAGCTCCCGTCGAGGACAGTATAGTTGCGGAATTGATTAAATGCTGCAGTGGTAAAATGAATGCCTTAATATATGAGTTGATTTGTGACGTATGGAGAGAGGAAAAGATGCCGGATGACTGGAGGATTGGATTAATATGCCCTATTCTTAAAAAAAAACAGCAAGGATCAGTGCACAAATTATAGAGGAATAACCCTGTTAGGAGTCCTGTATAAACTCCTTTCTAGTTTAATATTGAAAAGGCTGCAAAAATATGTTGAAGAAATTTTAGGTGATTACCAGTGTGGTTTTAGAGCTGGCAATGCTACTACAAATAAAATTTTTGTTATAAGACAAATGATGGAAAAATGCTACAAGTTTGACCTTGATCTGCACTTGTTATTCGTTGACTACAAGCAGGAGTTTGATAGCATCAAGAGATCAGGTGTGTTAAGAATGGTAATGAAAAGTGGAGTGCCACATAAACTAATTAATTTAATGTGAATGACCATGGAAAATGCATCATCCAAAGTTATTATTGGAAATAAAGTTGGTCAATTGTTCGAGGTACAGTCTGGAGTGCGTTAAGGAGATGCCTTATTGGCAACACTATTCAACATAGCTCTGCATGCCGCTGTGAAAGATGCAGCTAACAAAGGCACCATCGTTGGATAAGACCTGGCAAATTTGTGCTTATGACCTGGTGATAGCTGCATGAAGTGAAAAGCCGCTTAAAAAGAGGAATTTGAGATTGTATACGAAAATGGCAACAAAGTAGGACTTGTGGTCAATGAAAACAAGCAGAAGATTCTGCAGTGAAATCACAACAAAGAATTTTAAGTTCGAAAATGTACCCACATTAGTGTATCTTGGTTCTACCCTAAATAATGAAAATGTAATCAGCAGAGAAATAGATAACAGAATAATGGCTGGTAATAGAGCTTACTATGCAAACCTAAAACTTCTCAAGTCTCCATTGTTGTCAAAAGCCACAAAAATAAAGCTGTATAAAACGCTTATTAGACCAGTAGTCACCTATGGAGCGGAAACCTGGTGTTTATCGCAAGAGGATTGCCGTAAACTAAAAGTATTCAAAAGGAAAATAATAATGATTTACGGTGCAACAAGTGTTACTGGTGAGTAGAAAATCAAAAGTAACAATGAAATCGAGACTATATTAGAGAATTAAAACATTACTAACTATATCAAGGCAAGTAGACTTAGATGGGCAGGACATGTAGTCAGAATGGAAAATGAACGGGTGCAGAGAAAAATATTGGAAGCACACTTCAGTGGGAAGAGGTCCACTGGATGAAGTGGAGCGAGATGCAAAGAAACTAGGAGTTCGAAATTGGAAGAGAGTAGAACAGGACAGAGAGAAGTGGAGAAAAATAACTCAGGAAGCCAAGGGTCATGCTGGCCTGTAGCGCCTAGGAGTTAGTTGTTAATGATAGCATAAAAAAAAAGAATAGTAATAACAAAACAAAAAAAAACAGTAGTAAAATAACACACAAAAAAAAGATAATACAGCAAATAGCTCAATGCAATAAGTCTCTTGGCCAGCGCCTCAGCAGTCTTCTGGGCGGATCATATGGATTTGTAGCAGATGATAGAGCTTGAGTAAGTGGATTTGAATTTAGAGTTAGTCTGTCATGAAAATTATTAAAGCGGTCAATGGCAGTTGCCGTGATGAAAGGAGTGTTAAGGTCAGTGTGTAACGTAAGGTTTGAAACATAAAAGGGTATGTCTACAATTTTCCGAAGGACTTTTGATTGGAATGACTGGATGATTTTTATATTTGATTTCTTTGCTGTTCCCCATAGTTCAATTCATATGTCTAAACTGATTTAATGAGGACTTTGTAAATAGTTAATTTATTAGTCACAGATAATTTAGAACGTCTGTCAAGTAGCCTAGAAAAAAGTCCGTATCGCTGATTAAGTTCTTTTGTTTTTTGTTTTATGTGGTATGTCCATGTCAGTCGTTTGTCCAAGTGGAGACCCAAATAAAGTACAGTTTTTGAAGGTGGTAGAGCGATATTATTAAAGAACACAGGAAGACAAGAGTCATGTTTAAGTGTAAATGAAACAAGCTGGCTCTTAGACTCATTCATTTTTATCCTCCACCTTTTAGCCCAAGAAGCTATGTTGTCTAGGTGTTCCTGAAGTACCTGAGAAGTATAATTAAAAGCAATCACCAATTGAGATTAAATGATGTAGAATATATTATTCAATAACCTTTCCTTACACATATTTTTCACAGTTTTTTAAATAGCATTTCTATTATTTACTTAACATTTTTGGAGTTTTTGTTTGTTTTTTGTAATAGAGATAATTTGAGCTTATCATTCAGGGTTTGTTTTATCATAATTTTTTTATAAATTTTTAAATTTGTTGCTGGACTATTAAAAAAAAGTTGCATATCTGAATTCTGGTACACCTGGTACTCTAATTTCCGTAACAGATTGATTTTCTCCCTAATTTTTAATCCTGTTGTTTTAGAATTTTTTCTTAAATATTTTATGTATTGAAGTTATTGAAATAATAAATTTTGTTTACAGTATGGATGAATGTGAAGCTGTATGTAAAAGACTAACCATTATGGCTGGAGGAAAAATGGAGTGTATAGGAAATATTCAACATCTAAAAACATTATATGGCACAGGATATGTGATTAAAATAACCTTATCATCTCACACAGATAATGAAATAGCAACATTAAAGAGCATCATAGAATCTACCTTTTCACTGAATTGTGAGCTGAAAGATGAACATCAGGTATACATTTTCTTATTCATTATTTTGTTTTATTATTGATTAAATCAATAGTTGTTTATAATACTCAATAATATAAATAAATAAAACACATTTATTTTAGGTACTTCTGCATTACCATATAAAAACAAATATTTATAAAATATCGAGCCTATTCGAAATTATGGAACGAATAAAGGCACAATCAAACATAGTGACTGATTATATAATCACAGATTCAAGTTTAGAAGAAGTGTTTTTAGGTTTTGCTAAAAAACAAAAATAATTAAGCAAGATAATTAATATCTTGTTAAAAAGTTTTATTTTAAAGCGTTTTTCATTAATTTATTCAATATATGAACTGAATGTAAATAAAAGTATTTAAAAAAGTCTCTTGTCTTAATAATTATTCCTAATATGATTTGATTGAATTATTTTTTGTAAAATAAAATGGTAAACATTAAACATGTATTTAATAAATATAATATACAGCCTCCAATGATTAAACATATATGTTGTAAAGATTTATGATATTAAAAGCTTTTTTAAAATTTAGGAGTGTAGGCCTATTGAGCTATTAAATTATTCTTGGACGGAGGTAAGTCTGGTGAGTAAGCCGCATGTGCTATTTCTAAACTGAACGCTTCAATCATTTCCTTCTCTAGTTTTGGTGTGTGTGATAGTCCATTATTAAGAAGCAAAGTCACTGTCATGTTTCTTCTTTGAAGCAAATAACCAAAGTGAAGTTGTTTTTTTTAAGAAGTCGAATGTGATTAAACAAGCTTAGAGAATGCTCTAAAGCGATTATTAAGTATTAAATTTTTACAGTCCTTTGAAATCTTGAATTTGATAAAACAGTCATATTTTTTTATAGACCCTATCAGTATGTCAATTTTAGTTATTTTAATATTTCCCTAATTAAGTCACTTTATTAATAGACTGAGATTATTTATTCTGTTACACATTTAATTTTTTTACTTTCACTTATCTATTATATGTAATATATAGCAAGGGTAAGTATTGCGATCGTGAAAATTTTTGAATCCGAGTTATCAACGGATACACAAATTTTGAGGCCCCCTGAGTTCAAACAACCAAGTCCCGCAAAATGGTGTGTGTGTGTGTGTGTGTGCGCGTGTGCGTGAGCGTGTGTGTGTGTGTGCTTCAAATGACGCTGTTTCTTGTCGGTCCAGTAATTGCTAAATTTGTTACCATAAATCTCCCTGATCCTACCCTTGGCAGTACTGAGGCTGATTCCACAGACAGGCTCGGGAGTTACAGGAATGGTATCTGAGCCCAATCTGGCTAGTTCATCAGCCTCCTGTTGCCTGGTATGCCCGAGTAACCAGGCACCCACTCCACTACAACTCTATTGTGCTCAGTTAGTTCATTAAGTGTTGTGTTGCATTCCTTAACAATCTTTGAATATACGTAGTAGTTGTTAATAGCACCTATTGCTGCCTAACTGTCGATATAGATGGTAATCTTTTTCTCAGTCACATTGCTTCGCAGTAGGTTTTGTGCGCAATAGCAGATTGCTAGTATCTCAGATTGAAATACTGAGGCATATTTGCCAAGTGGTATAGAAACTTTTTCTTTATTGTCTTTGCGATAGATGCCTGCTCCAGAGCCGAAGGCTGTTAGAGAGCCATCTGTATAGCAATTAAGACCATTATTTGGTTTGTGTTGTCTGCTGCTGTCTATCCCAACCTCATATTTTTGGTCCTGATATTCTCGGATTAGTGTGTCAGAGTGCATGGCTAGCACTCCGTCACGTCCAATCCTGTTCAGCAGTACTCTGTGTCCTCCTTGACTTGCTTAGCCTGTATAATATGTTTGTTGCCCGAGCCTCCACCTCCAGCTGCAGCGGAGGCATGTTCAACATTACCTCCATGGCGGCCGTTGGTGTCGTGCTCATCCCACCCGTTATCATTATACATGCAAGTCTTTGAATCTTTCCTAATGAGGATGAGTTAGCTACAGTCTTTGCTTTGTGCCACCATAGCAAAGCTGAGTAAAGTATTATAGGTCTGACTGCCGTTGTGTACAGCCAGTATACCATTTTTGGTTTGAGTCCCCAACTCTTTCCTATCGCTCTTTTACAGGCCCATAGGCATTTGAAGGCTTTACTTGTCATGTTCTGAACGTGTTTAGTCCATGACAATTTTTGGTCCAAAATGACTCCAAGGTGTTTAACTTCCTTGCTCAATGTCAGTTGGATACCATTGATTTCCAGCATTTTTATAAATACCTTTTTCTTAGTGAAGATGCACACATTGATTTTCCTAGGGTTGATGCTTAGTCCATTAATCCTGCACCAATTCCTAAGAATATTTGACACTGTAATGAGGAGATCAGAGAGGACACTCTGATGCTTTCCTCCTATTAGGATGGCAATATCGTCAGCATATCCTTGCACATAAATGCCTGCAATGTTTAGGGCTTCCAACAATGAGTCAGCCACAAAGCACTTGAGTTGGGATTTAGGAGCGCAAATTTCTTATTACTACTCGTAACATTCTCTCCTGCCTAAGATGTTACGTATGAAAATTCGCATCCGTTTCTGATAGGTACTTCACTATTTTTCGGTAGGTTTCAGCAGTATCTGGTATTATTTTTGTATCGTTGGTACTGTTAAGGCATGAATAACTACCAGAGCAGATTTTATTTAGTAGGGTGCAGAACAACTGGAAATTTTTGATATTTTTCACAAATATCGGAGGAGGCCTTGGTTCTGTGGGTATAGCTGCAGACTCCATTACCTCTCGGTCATTTTGAAGTACTTAGTAGGGGTTTGGAGTAAAGAAAGAAGATTCTTCGATCATTTCTTGCGAAGAAGTTCCTGGTTGGGTCTGAGGTTCTGGTTCTGAAGTGTTCAGTTTGATTATTGGAGACGTTTCTCGTATGCTGCGACGAGTTCTTTGTTTGGCTGGTGAACCACGAGGTGTACTAACGCCGTCTGATCTGAAGAACTTATAGCTTCGCTCTTTTTATCTTTCCTTGTTCAGAGAGAATAATGCATTCAATATTAAAATTTCCTATTTTTTTATGATATGGTCCAACTTCCGAACAATTTATTTCGCAATTTCTGAACAATGAGTTTTACTAAAAAACTCATCTACTATTCATTATATTTAATACAGATTAGGTATATATTATTTTAATTTATAAAACATGTATTAACATGGCTCATTTCTGGCAAAGTACATAACATTTAAACTACCTCTAAGAATCAGTAAATATACAAAATTAAATTGCAAAAGTTAAATAAAAAATTCAAGATATTCAGCAAAGTATTTCCTAATTAAGTTTTATTATTATAATTAAATCATTTTCACGATAGAGTTCTTCTTAAACGAACTCCGTATACAATAAAGGAAGTTAAATTTAAAAAAAAATGTTTTGGACAATTAAATTATTGCATTTATATTTTTTCGTTAATATAATCAATATAATGTACAAAAAATGTAGCACTGTAACTTAGGCATTTATGAGCACTGAATGTTGTGGTAGAGCCTGTAGGCAACAACGCCAAGTACCGCTTTTCCGCCGCTGCCGGAGTTTCTTAAAAGACGCCTGATCAGCTGGTAAACGGGCTCGACGGTATTTGCGCCTTGCTACAGGTACAGTGGGACGACGTAAGGTTTTAGTTTTCAGAGGAGCAAGGGTGTCTAATAAGGATTGTAGGTTTGAGGTTAGGGTAGATACCATAGGATCAATGGAGTCATAGGAAGGTATGATGTCCCTTTGGAAAGAATCAAGGTAGGAATTCATAGGACAGAAGGTTTAAATTACGGTATGAAACTATTTTGGGTGTAAAGGATTTCACGGGTAGGCCGTATGTAATTTGGATCAGGTCGTGTAATGAAAAAAATGGAATGGGGTGTTGGGAAGAGGAGAGGATTTCGATGTGAGAGCCAGAGATGTAGAGGTCTTACCAGGTGTCGGAAAATTGCGTGTGATGGGTAGGAGAATAAGGTACAAGATAAAGATTAAGGGAAAACAGTAAGTCGGTTAGGAAGTATTTTTCAGGAGATTGTGAAAGCATATTCACATTTAAATCGCCGGTGATAATAATATTGTTGTAAAGGGAGACCAGGTTGACAAGGGAGGATTCAAAGAAGTTATCAAATGGAACATGAGGAGGGTGGTAAACTATGGCAAATAATAGAGGAGAGGTGATAGGGTAAATTTCTACAAAAATGTATTCCATGTGAGGAAAGTCATGAGAAGGAGAATGCAGGAGAATTTTGGCCTTAAGACTATCGTGGACATACAATCCGACACCACCTCCCGTGCGATCAGATCTGTCGTGTAACAGGAAAGAATAATACATGTATTATATTTGCTCGTTTCACAATAATTATGTTGAATTTTTACACATAATAACAACTATTGCCATTGTTTTTTGTTGCTTCACTCTCCCTCACCTCAATCGAAATGGAAAGTCCTGCGCCTATGTCCAAGATTATTCCAGCAAATTCATAGACGTTTTATGTTGGGGTGTAGGAATATAGTAGTTGGAATTCAATTTTAAATAAGTTGTTCGCATCAACCTTAATGTACCAAATAAAAAGACGAGTGTGTCCATCATTACTGGTTAACTTTGGGTCTAATATTGGTCACTGATTATTAGCGCATGCCCAGAACTCTTCTTTACTTACTACTTTCAATTCAGTTAGTTTTAAACAAAATTTTATAAGTACGTCATTCAGCTTGTGCTGCGGATAAGTGATGACCTTCATTCAATCAATCGACATTCTTTCTTCAATCCAGATGTGAGAATAATATTCTAAAGGACTTGTTTAGGCAACTTTTCTAATTAAGGCAAACAACTCTCATGAGTTTCAATAAGGCAACATTCTAATTTTATGCAGTGGACTGTATATTAATGGATTGGTAGGTTATAATGATTGTGAAAAAAAACATTTTGCCGTCTTTATGCCAGCTTACATCTTTTAGTTACCTGGAGGGCCCTCTGATGTGTCCACAGTCATTGCCAGAAGAGAAGTGGGACGAGGGCACCAGCAGCTCTTGAGGCTTAAGTGTTATCTTTTATCTTTTACATCTGCCCCCACCACTCGCCGTAACGCGGGAAACTCAAACCATTTTTGGCACAAACAAGGCTCTATGAACTAAATCTATTAGGAACTCCCAACACAACGATAAATGCCTCAGTAGTAGGCAAGAGACTACGTCCAAAAATCAAATAGGTATATCCGATCAACAAAGAAAATGTAAAGCTACATGCAGATAATTATAATAATAAAAAAATAATAAGTTTATTTAAATGACATTTACAAAATGTACACAATAATCGGTCATGTTTAACGCTATACGGGATTTTCCCTGGCCAGGGAGTGTGGGCGGGGATTTAAAAGACGCACCGGGA